GGGTGTGCTGCTCAGGTTCGCGTAGTTAGGATGTTACTAGCAAGTAGCAACCACTATGGTCACCAGACAAGTTTCACTCTGTCACAACTACAACTCGGATACGCTACCTTAAATCTGGTTCCGATGGCTTCCTGGGCTAAATAAAACTTTTTGTAAGCCACAGAAGCTTCCAAAATCAAATAAAGCTGCAATAATTACATTAAACTAAAAATTTAGCAAAAACTCTTAAGCTTGTTAAGAGATATATATCCAAAACAAAAAGGAAAAAGCATGTTAAAAATATTTTGCTAACCTTTTTTTCACTTTGAACTACTTTCTATTCATCGCTTTTCATGTATGACCTAGTCTTTAAGGAAAATTTATTTTTGAAAGAGTTAAAACCAGTGGCCTCTCCTTGAGTTTTCAGGAGCTTCCAAATGTCATAAGATTGCTTCGCCCATTCTCAATCCCCTCTTCTCACCCTATCTCCTAGGATCCTAAGATTGTTTGATAACTTGGCACTTCGGCCCTAGTAATTTTGAAGTAATTCCCCACCATGCTTCAGAGCGCTTCAAGTGTCTTTTTACCTTGGGCCTCCTCTAATAGGTGCTAGTCCTGGTTACAGAACAACCTAACAATTCCTAGAAACCTCAAGCAATGTCTTCTATTTTCAGACATATTTGTGTCTCAGTATATAAAAGATCAGTTTTCAGGGATGAAAAGAATGGATAACATTAGGTTATCCAACAGAAGTTTGCGTTAAGCGGTTAAGATCACATCACAACATATCCTAAATTGATAAAATAGGCTTTTTTCGTATATTTCAAAAGATTTTCTCAATGATTATACTTTATCTGGCAAGACGTCCAGCTCATCACGAGGAAATAACGAGGCAATTCTATTAGAATACATATTTAATGAATTGAGTTATTTGGTGTAAAAATGAGTCAAACAAAAGGGTAACAGTTCCAAATCCTTCTTCGATTGTGTTCTTCTATGCCTGTATCAATAAATGATTCTTAAGTGCATTACCTTCTGTGGTAACTGTGATTTTGAACCCGGGGGGTTAGCATGCGTGCACACACACAGAGACACACACATGACTACATGAGGTTAAATTTGGAAAGATAAAATTGAACTTGAACTTTTTGTTTAGTTGGTCAGTCTCTTACTGAATTATATAATTATCTCATTTATGTATTTAGGAAAGAATTACTTGTGCTGCTCTTTACTTATGTGTTTCTTACCATTGATGTAATGATCAAACTTCATGAATTTTGCTTTAAAATTAATTTGTTAGGCTAATTTCTATTCGTTCGAAAACTGGAATATTGTCTTGCCTGTATAGACTTTTACAAGATAGTATTATGGTGAGCATGATCAAGCTTAATTATGGTGAATACAGTCAAATTTACTTTGGTGAATTTGGTCAAGCTTAATTTTGGAAAGTTACATATAACACTTCTCATACTTTTGAAACTACATAGTAATTATCCTATTTGTATGACATTTTGTTCAGTGCTCGTGCTATTTTGATCCTTTCTGCCTCTGACATTCTTATTTCTAAACTCAACAGATTCGGGTATTCTTTTCTGTTCCCGAGAGTGTAGCAGCAAAAATTGAGCTACCTGATTCTTTCTTTAACCTCTCACGTGAGGAATTGAGAAGAGAAGCAGAGATGAGGAAGAAGAAATTAGAAGATTCCAAATTATTGATTCCTAAATCTTATCGGGAAAAGCAGGCAAAAGCTGCAAGAAAGAAGTACACAAAATCCATTATCCGAATACAGTTTCCAGATGGAGTATTGCTTCAAGGTGTCTTTCTACCTTCGGAGCCAACTAGTGCTCTTTATGAGGTTGGTACTTGGCCTTTTATGTTATTATATTTGTTGACAAATTACTAAATCTAATTTGGTAAGAACTTTAATGGATTTTCTGCAAGGAACTTCTTTTAGATTCAAAAGAAAATCTTCCTTTATTTCCAAATTACTAAGCATACAATGCATTACTTTTTGTAGAGCAATACAAGATTTCTTCATCACCCCCCCCCCC